GCTGAGGATTAGAAAAATATCCCTTTTCAGATACACTATGTTTCAAGAGCACCAATCCGAAAGGCATAAGGCTACCAGAAACAGAGAACGGGGTATGGCTTCCTTAATAAAGTCTCAGTGGCCTTAGAAACATCATCCAAGCAGAGGATTGAGAATAGCCTTAGAGGCATCCCTAATGGGCTGTACACTTCCCACCTATCAGCAGTTTCTAACTTGTTCCTAAACATATAGTAAGGACTCAGTAAATGTTTTGAATTAACATAAAAAATGAAAAAGTGTCGCCCTTTCTATCTTGATTTATATAAGACAAATTTAATTAATTCAACCTCTTGGTTTTGAGAAATTCCTGAGAATAAAGGCATAATTCCATCTCTCAAATTAGCATGGTTCATAACACTCCTTCACTCCGTATCTCAAAGTTGGATTTTATGTTTTCTATTATTAATCTCATTATAGTTTTCCAGGACACTATGAAACACATTAACCTATCCATTAAGAAACAATCCAACTATTTCTAAAAGTCACCAGCAATTATATATAAGGAATAGGCTACACAAGAAAGATCAGGTATGATTCAAATGACTTTCTAAGTCCAGACTGAAAATTAGATTTATGATCGAGGGAAGTATCTATCTAAAATATCTATAGGAGAATTGAAATAGAAACTGAGGACATCACATACACTGAGATCATAAACAAGAACTAAAACAAGAGGCTAAAGGTGTTGAGAATGTTTACCCTTGTGAAGAATAAGATGAGAGTATCAGAAAAAGTATGTAAAAGTTCTAAAGATCATTTCTGTAAGGAATATGCTTCCTATTGCTTCTGAAAAAAAGTATGTGTTTAAATTTCAAAGGAAAAGATTTTGGTTGGAAATCATAACTTCTCATTCTATAAATAATGCTTTATAAAAAGAATAAAGAAACACACATATGAAATAGCTGAGTGTATTCTCTTCCAAATGATTGACCAGGTCCTGATCACTCCATGCACCTAGTACAGCCAAGGACATTTAAAGTACTCATTAGACACTTAGGCACAAGTTTTTACACTATTACATGGGTTTAAATACCTTGTGTTTAAGTCTAGACTCTACAAACTTACAGAGGAAAGACATAACCCAATAAGTTTTTGTTCTCCTGCAGCAAACAGCATCAGAATACACACACAAGCCTTCAATAAATACATTTAGTAAGTGTTACTACTCTCTAAGGCAAAGTCTTAATTGCAAATTAATCTAAATACTACCATCACGAACATCACCAGTAGAAAAGTAGCTCTCAAAATTTCCAAGTGAAACCACACTTACATGTTAAACAATGGGAACAACAAGAAAGAGTAACTGTCGTATTCATTACAAAGGGCAAAGAATGAAATCTTCTGTTTGTAAAGTTAATCCACTCCAACTAGTACGGTTAACTGCCCAATAAAACACAGGGCATTTATCTCTCTGCTTTACAAATATTTTGCTTGATCTATGTTCTTGGTGAAATGTGCTAAACTTAAATATATGTAATCTATTTCATTCTTTGTTATATGAAATATACAGTATCTTTATTGTATAAAAATTAAAAGGCAAAATGCTTACTGATATAAGCAATACTAGGGGGGAAAAATCACTTGAATTTCAAAGTATCATATCCCAAAACTGGTTTGATCATATATGAACAGCCATATTTCAATGATAAATCCTTTAAAGTTCATTAAACCTATTACTATGCAGTTATATTTTGGGCAGCACAGAACCCAGATACATAGCAGGTGCCCCATTTGGCTGAATGGGTAGCATTCTACTTGATCAACTTTCATAAGCTGCAACCACCGCCCCCCCTCGGTCCCCCTCGCCCAAAAGGGAGTCAGTCACTGGTTTTAACAAACTCCTTGAAGAGTTCATTTCAGTTATTCTTGCTTTGTTCAATGTGAAACAATTTAATCTTATTGCTTTCCTCCTAAGGCGTAGAACAATGATGTTCAAATGGGAGCACTTGCAAAGGGGACATGAACTGTCAAATTCAGGAGCTCACTGAACAAGCCGGAACAGGCTCACTAAAGCGAGTGCCTGGATTTGGGGGGTATGGGGAGAATAACAAAGGTAGGGGGCAAAGCACTACAAGTAAACTTAGCTTGCTCAGGAACTAGACTCACATCTCTAGTTTACACACAGTTGACCTTGACATGGGCCGGTCTGATCCAGAACTTCTGTCTTACATTAGTGAAATGAAAGTTTCCCGTCTAACACCTGTAGACAACTTCACAGGTTATAACTTCATTTCAAAACAGTATTGCATCATTAAATCAAGGTCAGATTTCTCTTTGCCTTGTAAACTACACATCTTACAGCCTTATATTGGAGTTTCCTAAGATGGAAATGACAACAGACAGTGATTAGAGATTTTGAGGAGAAAATTTAGTAAGAAATCATCTCAAATTCCAAATCTATCATATATACAGTGTGTAAGATAGAAGCCCCTAGAAAGTGGTTTGAAACTACACATGCTGCCTCCAGATTCCCCTAGGAGGGCATGCCAGGATTCTGGGACGGGGCTGGGGCAAGAACACTCTGAAACAGCGCTCCAGGAGATTCTGACACTCCACTCCTTAACCCTGTTGCCATTACCAGCTAATAATGTTTCACCACCCGCTGCTGATGTACTCTGTGCTAGTCCTCTACCAAATGTGAACTAAGTGAAGTCGTTAGAATAGAGCATCCGAATTCAGCTGGCATTTAGCCAGTTTTCAAGAGGTAAAAATAAATCCATGAGTGGCAAATCAACTTAACTTCCTTTCACAAAGTTTCACTTTAAAGCTACAGATCAAATTCTGAACGCAAAGATATTTACAGTAATAGCTTTCCAATTAAAGTATTTAAGTCCGCTAATATATTTCCATGAATCAAGCTTTCACTACCAAGTAGCAGTACCAAAAAAAAAAAAAAAATTCCAACATTCCTCACAATCCACTTACACTTAAGGGATAACTCAGATTTTTTGAAGCTAGGAAATAAAGAGTATTATTTCAAGCTTACCATAAGACTCCCTTTTGTGTGTTATACTTGATATCCTCGTGTTTAGATTCAGAAAATGTTATTATTTATGGGTAACTTTAGGTAAAATTAGTTATAGAAGTCACTCTATTTCAGACTAACACCCCTGGTTTTCAGTATTCATAATATTATATTCACACTCTGGTCCACTGGAAAGTATCTCACAATCCCCAAACTTCTCCAACTTTAATATTACTCGATACTGGCTTATGCAACTCTAAAGCACATCAGGAAATATGATGGATATCTCCCATACTTTTAAAATCACCAACAACATGTGTATATCAACAACCCTGAATTCCTTCTAGTTGTCAAAATCTGTTCTGCATACAGTTAGGCCCAAATACTACTAAGAAAACTTAGGGGGGGGGGGGAAACTTGCAAAACAAACTGAGAAAACCTACTTACCTTAATTGGAGCACTACTAAACTTAATTTTCCTATTTGTGGGGATTTCTTCTTCTTCTGGCAATCCAACGATTTCCGAGTATTCCATGTCAGGTTGATAGTAATTGTTTTCATCACTATCCTCCTGCTCATCCTGTTCAGTGCCTGTCTCTCGCCAGTCGGAATTATACCTGGATCTTACCCTATATACATTATAGTCACTGTGCATGTAAACATGGGGACTCTCAATATTACTTGAATCTTCAGGTACTTCCTTCCCACAGCTGGATCCAGAAGCATCAGCAGAGATAAAATCACCACCTGCAAGCTCTTTCTTCTGTGTCATTGCTGCCTCATTCCCAACCAAATTAGCTTTGGCATCTTCTAAAGGCTCACTCTGCGGGGAGAGGATGTCAGACTCTGGCATTGCCTTGTTCCCAGCACAAGGTTCTCCGGGAACGTCTTTGTCAACTCTGTCAGGAGTCTCTTGGTTAGATGTGGAGTCCTCAGCTTCCTTGCTCAGCTCTGCCTCTTCACTAGGTATCAAAGCGAGAGAGGTACTTTTCGAAGCCACTTCTGGTACAGGGGACGTGTCGCTCTTCTGAGCATCCTCTGCATCGTCACCGTGTCTGCTTGGAGGAGTGCAAGAATCAGAATCCTTAAGACGACTAAAGGTGTCGAGATTGGTAACAGTCACAGCTGGTAAATTCAGGGGATAGTGCCCAGTCACTGAGTACTCATTTTCAGCCTTCTCAGAAATGACGGAATTGGGGGAATCGGTGTTCTCAAATACTGCACTCAGTTGACTCACAGTTGGGGAGACAGCCTCTGTCCGGGGGCTAAGGCTGTCCAAGGAGTCAGTGCTGCCTCTGTTGGACTTCAGACCACCCCATTCATCCTGAGGTTCGTTCCCTCCAGCTTTCTCTTTCTTTGGGGAGTAACGGTTGTTTTGCCCTGATTCATGCCCACTTCGCTCAAACAACTTCCGAGTTTCCGTGAACTTAGAATATGAAGGGCCATCGTGCATTGTGTCAAATCTACTAATTCGCTCTGAAACAGAGGACTCCAACTTAACAACTGAGCCATCCGTTTTCTCCAGAAATTCTTTGGGCCTCATTCTTCTCTGAGGGGATGACGGGCCACCTTTCCCCCTTGTTTTGGCAATGACTGCAGCATTCTCATTGGGTTCCATGCCCATCTGCATAAATAGGTTTTTAATTCTGTTGACATTGGAGCCATATTTCCTCCCCCTGCTCTGCTGGGAGCCCTCACCTTCTTTTGTTTTTTGTTCCCCATCTGACTTGGGTTTGTCAAAGGTACTTTTCAGTGCCTGGAACTCAGTTCTGTACGCATTCCTGTGAGGAGAGGCACTTCTGAGAGTGGTTCGTTCGCCTGAAGACTCGGTTTTCAACATTTTTATTTCAGGGTGCAAAGCCAATGTTCATAATGATCAGGAAAAAAAAAATACCTCTCTTCTCTAATCACCAGTATTTGATCAAGCAAAAGTACCTCTCAAATAGCATACTGTGTCAGGGATCCACGCAACAGGTGTATTAGGAAATTATTCAGTCAAGAGTTACACAAAATGGCTTTTTCAAAGCAAGACTAGAGGTTCATCTGTAATAGAAAAGAATGAATTTCTGAATTCATTTACTTATTTGAATTTATGTTTACTCAACTAACATACACTTTCTTTTCAAAGAGCAATACTTTAGCCCAAGTTTTGATTGCTTTTGTGAATCACCTAAAAAGAAATCAGCAGTTTGTACATCTTTAAGAAATCATCAAACTGCCCAGAAACATGAATTTCATTTGGGACTCTTCACATCAGATAAAAGCTATTCTTTCTGTTTACAATTAAAAGTTTTGGGAACTATGTTTACAAACTCCAAAACATGCCTACGGAGGCTTCCTTCCCTCCTTCTGGTCCAGGGTTCTCATTGACAGCATCCCCAGAGCAACACTAGTGCACTATCAGACCACAACAAGCAGAGCCAAGTTCTTAAAATGGCAATACGTTTCCCTCTCAGTCCGGTTACAGCAAATATTTGGAAGTTTCCTCAGAGTGGATATTATTAATTACAGAAAGGGATGTAGAATGTCATGGGAATAAAAGCATGAGAATGTGATGATCAGAAAGCAAATGTACCATGAAACCTCTCTTTAACAGCCCTGATGTGTTTATTCCTGCTTGCCTCTAACTTACTACAAGCTCAACATGCAACGCAATGCAGGCGTGCTGCTCTCCTGGAGCCCACAGCTGGATTTCATACCCATCAGGGCGGCCATAAATACTTCCAAGATCTTCTAAAGGTTTTTTTCATTTGGTTTTGGTTTGGGATTTTCATATTAGGCCGAGCTCCATCAGCCCCCACGCACCGTCAGCTGAGGAAGACACACACTTTCACTTAAATCGTCGCCAAACTCGGCTCCTGGCCCAGCACGCATGCACGGCCCATGCAGACAAACAAGAAAGGCTCGAGAGTGTGGTGCCTGGTTTGGGGTAAGGCATCGGATCATCATCTCCTTCCACCCGGACCTCGGCTTCAGCCTCACACACCCTCCCCTCCCCCGCTCCTC